CCTATTGTTTTGTTTGATTTTAAGCATTTGGTGACGAAATTTGGTTTTCCTCTCTAAAAATAATACATTTGGAGACGAAATTATTTCCTCTCTAAATTTTTTTACAATGGTGACGACAAATTTCGTCTCCAAAATGGCGCCAAATCTTCCACCAAATTTTCCAAAGGCGGGAAATTGTTTTGTGATGAAAAATAAAATTTAGAGACGAATAAAATTTTCGTCACCTATTGTTTTATTTGATTTTAAGCATTTGGTGACGAAATTTGGTTTTCGTCTCTAAAAATAGTACAATTGGAGGCGAAATCTTATTTTCATCACTAAAACATGTATATTTGGAGACGAACTATTTTTTCGTCACGCGTTTTTGTCACCATAGACCTTTTTTGTTGTAGTGATTTATACAGGAAATTAAAGACTCTCGAGTGATTACTTTGTTGTCGAAAAGTAACCATGGCTTCTTCTCCTTCGCTATCAAGTGTCAAGTTAAGCCCCTCCGGAGGTAAGTCATCTTCAGCAGAGTCAAAATGCTGTACAGAGGTTGTTAACCTTTATGTTAGAGAGGCACTCCTGTTGGATTGGGCTGGCAGGGACACATAACCTGCTTCTCTTTGGCTCAGATATCCTCATACGCGAAATCTCCATAGCGAGGACATCAACAAAACCATAGTTATCATCTTCTGTCTTCTTAGTCGAGTTATTGGATGAGAAAGCTAACATAGAGTCATCACTGAGAGAGCTGCTGGTTACTACCTTGTTTCTCTCCAACTCCACTGCATGTCTGGCAGTCAGTTTTTGTGAAGTCAATCTTACATGGTTATCCATTTTTGGCTTGGAAGCCAATATCTTCAATGTGGATTCTGTATGGGCCAAAATCCACGGATGATCTGGAAAAATATAAATTGGATCATTAATGTACAAAGAGATGAGACAACGGTTTCATTTGGCTTTAACAAAGCCAAAAGTAAAAGAATGCTACGAAACTGGGGGTGAATGAGACAGAACACTTACCCATCTGATTCATCCTTGCACATGTTTCTAGTGAAAAAAAAATGAAAAAAAGAGATGAGTGGAGATTTAAAACAGATTGGTATGCAACTTCCAACAAAATTAGTCATTTCCTTCATTTTAGACAACCAAAATGGTAGCAATAAGAGAAGTGAACCCTTCCTGTGCCTAGTTATCTGATTACCAAAATGCAGCCTAATGAAAGGAAGAGAAGTATATTGAGGCTTACTTAGTACTTCGTCAGCATTGAACCTCGCTGAAACATCCCTTGTAAGCGTATGAGCAATTAGATCACAAGCAGCTTGGGGTACTGATTCCCATACTCCACTGCAAAAATCAAGTTTCACCTTGTTGACAGCCTCAAACACAGATTCTACAGAATCACCTTGAAATGGGAGCTCACCAACCAATTAATTCTACAGATTCAAACACAGATTCAAACACTGATTCTATGTTTGTTGACAGCCTCAAACACAGATTCTACAGAATCTGCCTTACTTAGTACTTCGTTAGCTAATTGATTAGGTATTCATAGATTATAGATTAGCTATGAATACTATAATTTATAGATTTAATGATTAGGTCTAATTTATAAATTATAAATCTATAATAACATTAAATCTATAATTTAGTGAAAGCTTCTTGTTTGATTCCCTTTACCTTTTTTTGCTGCCAAATTTACAAGTCAAGGACTGTATTTTTATGAATTCTGAATTTGAGCATATGAAGTGGAAGTGTCAATGAAACAATTTTGAATCTGGATTGATGATGTTATTGAATTCATATGGCCCAATGGAAGCAGGTTACATTTAACGGCACTAGTTATGAGCAATTTTATTGGTGGCTAATTACTAATTAACAATTGTAGACACAAATGAAGGACCTTGGGGCACAATCCAATGCTACAGATGAAGAAATTATCACACAGGTTCTAGGGCCTGAGCGACCTGGTCGTGTTCGAACATATGGATTGGGTCCTTCCCCGACAGATGTCTTTGGAGGCGGATATAGGCAATCGCAAGAACAAACTCGTATCATCCAAACGCAAGTCCAAGAGCAACTTAACCAATATAAAGCACAAATGGAGATGCAAATGAAGGAGATGATGGATGCTATGCTTAATCAACAGAAAGTACAAATGGAGATGCAAAGCACAATCCAAGCTCAACAAGCCCGAATAGAGCAATTGGAGTCTCAACAGGCCATGGGTGGGCCTGTTGCACCAGCTGCTACACATGTGCATTCACAACAACAATCCCATGCATACACCTCATCATTTAATTGTCATCGTTCGTCCGAGGAAGTGAGTAAAAGTTAATTATGAAATTTTCATGTGACATTTTATTCATGTTATTTGTTCTTATCAAATACAGGTTCACATATCAAAGAAAGAAAAGAAGAAGAAGAAGAAGTAGATATGACAAACTCAGGTTCATTCTAAACCATTATAGTTGGATTTGCTTCCTCAAAAAGGAGTTTAACTATATTTCACCAAAAAGGATTGCCTATTTTTATGCATCCAAACATCAGCCACATCAATGGTAGGCAAACTAACTTATTTTATAGAATGTCTGTATGGGTTTTTGTGGTTCCTCGCTTTAGTCTTTTGCATAAGAAGTAGATGTTTAGTTAACATCTAAAAGTGTCATTATGACACTCCCTCCATTTGGGGGTTTTGTATAAAATTAGTTGATAATGCTTTTCTTCAATTTGGTTCATGAATGGAAAGAGCTACTAAACAGAAATATATGGAATGAGGAAGTCTCAAGACATAGCAGCCTTTTAGTAGAAATACGGAAGCTAGTGGTTCAGTTAAAGGGACAGCCAGACCTGTAGGTTGGCACCGGATCTTTCGTTGTCAAAATTTTAAGCCTTGTTTCAATATATTACAAAACATCAAAATCTTAGCCATTGTCTCAATGTATTTTTTGAAGCTTAACCCTTGTCTCAATGTATTCCAAAACATCAAAATCTTAGCCCTTTATTTTTTGAAACTTATGATGTGATCGAGGTATGATCATGCGATTAAGAATGTATTTACATAAAGAAGGGATATCAATTTTGGAGACAAAAGATCCATGTCTATAGGTCTTGAAGAATGCTGTGCTAGATATGCTGGACTTGAAACAAATCATATCATGAGCAAGGTACAGAAAAAACAAATTTGTAGTGTGCATTGATTGTCCCAATCAACAATAGATAAATACAAGACATCTAGGAAACAAATAGAACATGAACAATATAAGATCATTATAAAACTTTGTAGGTCTGGTGATAGATTCAACTCATTTAACTGGTGATGATAAAGTTGTTTCTCAAACTAGAGATGATTCAAGTGGACTTCAAACAACAAATTATCCCAACAAGATCTCTTCTTCTTTCACCAGTGTCAACTAGCTAGGGTTAAAAAATTCAAAGAAGTCAAGAACCAAAACAAATCTATGATCAAATCCTAAAAAAAATGAGTCAAAATTTATACAAATTTTTGATGTCAAAATAATATAACAACATATCTAGAGCATAAGTTCAATAACATGTAGTAATTCTAACCAATAATGATAGTATAAAAGTTATCTTGTTTCAGGTTTAAAAAAAAAAATGGCTACCCCGAATAGATGCCAAGAACAAGAAGAGTCAATGAGAAGGTATAAACTTGTCAATAAGATGATTCAGATTGGTATCTTTCATATTTGGATAAGCTTTTTAGCTGTTTTTTTTATCGCCTTTTAGCTTTTTAACGAGCTCTTGTTTCAATAAGTAATCAATTTTTAAACTTTTTATAGGCTTTGTGTTTTTATTTATTTGTTCATAGCAGCCTTTTAGTAGAAATACGGAAGCTAGTGGTTCAAGACATCGGATAATTATTTTCTTCAATTAAGTGTCTCAAGACATACTTAAAAGCTTAGAATAGTTTATTGTGCTCTTATTATTATCATCGTCATTTTTTTGTGTGTACTTGGTTCATGTGAATGAAATTTTGAGCCTTTTGGAAGATTAAATTAGTTGCAGTCTGCACTCCTTTTCATACATTGTTCAATTGGAGCATTAGAACAAAATTATTTTAGATATAAAACTTCAGATGTGGTTTAGTGCACATCTTAAAACTATATCAACTTGCTTTCTTTTTCCTTTGTGACTTCTAATTATTTGATTTTTTTCTTCTTCTAGAGTGATGCAGATAAATTGAATAGGAGGCTTGTTCGCTTGAAGTCAACAAACCGTACTCGAGAAAGGTTGAGGCGTGATGGCTTTTTGGGATTGTTTGGACACAAGGTTGATCTTTTAGATTACCATGAAAAGAAGCTACAAGACTAGGAAGTCAACAAACCGTACTAAAATTTTTTTTGGTTGTCTTGAGTTTCTAAAACTCAATGTGGGCATGGAATCCTTTGTTTGAATTGCGTCCTATGGAAACAATGTGTTACTAACTCATGGTTGTTTAGATGTCTTAGTTGACAATATGCTTGTATATGACACTAGATGTGAAATTTTTACTTGAAATGATGATTCTGGTGAGACTATATTATGCATGTATATGGCATGTATTGAGGATTGATTTTAAATCTAGCAGTTTGGTTGCATAGAGCAAACATAAAACATGAGATCCCCAAATTGTGAATTTAGTTTCCACCACCACCAGCAGAGAACCCACTAACCACCCCCCCCAAAAAAAAGAAAAAAAAAGTGGCATTTTTTGAAAAACGCCACAAAATGACGGCATTGTGACGTCACATATTTTATTATAAAAAATAAAAACAGTGGCATTTTTCGAAAAACGCCACTAAATGACGTCATTCTCACGTCACACGTTAATTGGGGACGGACGGTCGTCAAAGATTTTGCGGCGTTTTAAGAAACGCCGTATAATGTTTTTAGCGACGTTTTCCAAACGTTGTGTAGCTATTGCGGCGGCCCTATCAGCGGCGAAAATTTTACACGTCACTATAAGATATTACGGCATTTTTCAGGATTTTCGCGGCGTTTTTAAAACGCTGCTAAAAAACGAATTTCCTATAGTGAGTGATAAATTAGGTGTTTCAAGCATTTTTATTTTTCGATATTGGACAACCACATGGACTTAATATCTATATATATATAGATATATAAACAAATATGATTTGGTCTTAAATTTTTGGTACTTTCAATTAGGGTTGCATATATATATATATATTAATAAAAAATTTAAAAGAAAAGATTAAATTATAATATCGATTATTATTGATATAAAATGAGGAAAACATCATAAAAAACATAAGGCGGCCACCGCCGTGGTTCAAATTTGTGTTATGTAGACCACACCTAGAGTAATTGTGGTATATAAATATATTTTTAAAAATATTTTTTCTAAGTATGTAATATTGTTAAATGATTAACATTCACTAATTGTACGTAATTTTATGACCACAAAAAATAACTGTTTTGGTCATATACATCTGACAATGAGGCTCACCACAGAAGAGATTTCGTAAAGTAATTATGATATATAAATATATTTTTTAAAATATTTTTTCTAAATATGTGATATTGTTAAATAATTAACATTCCACTAATCGTACGTATTTTTATGACCATAAAAAATAGGTTGAGTTACACTAACGGTCCCTATAGTTTGTGGCATGTGTTATTTTGGTCCCTGACTTTTCAATTGTAACACATTTGACCCTAAATTTTGAATCTTGTTCCAAATAAGGACAATTGAAGATACTATTGGAATTTTCAATGGCAAAATCGTCAATTTGATAAAATATAAATTAATTTGACAAAAATAAATTTTAAAAAATTATTTCTACCTACTAAAGACAAAATTATATAAAATTAATAAATCTTTTAGACATTTATTTCTCTTTTTTTACGAAATTAATTTTTATTATGTATTTAGATGATGATCATGTAAAATTAATTTTTAAAAATTAATCATGTAATTTTTATTAATTTTTATCCATTTTACATAATTTTATTTTTAGTTGCTAGAAATAATTTTTAAAAATTTTAAAATATTTTTTGACATTTATTTTTTTTCAAATTAGTTTCTATTTTATCAAATTGACGATTTTGCCCATGAAATTATGCAATGGTATGTTAATTGTCCTTATTGGAAACAAGATTCAAAATTTAGGGTCAAATGTGTCACAATTGAAAAGTTAGGGACTAAAGTGACACAAGCCCCAAACTATAGAGACTGTTAGTGTAATTTGCCCTAAAAAATAATTTTTTGGTCATATACATTTGACAATGAGACTCACCACAGAAAAGATTGTTCCACTCATGTGGCTCCTCGAGTTTTATTGTAGGTAGTTGATTTTGTAATTTACTAGTTGTATTTAAGTGTAAAAACTATGTAATGAAGATACAATCTTAGAATGTTAGAGGCCTTGGAAGACCTGAGAAAATGAGAAGGATCAAAAGAAGTTTGGCGGAAAGGAAAATTAGTTTAGTGATGATTCAAGAAACAAAGAGATCTACAATCACCACTGAAGTGGTAAAATCTATCTAGTATGAAGATCACTTTGAGTATATGACAGTGGATGCGAAAGGCAGAGCTGGTGGACTAATGTGTATGGAATCCAAAGGTGTTTCAAGTAAATGCTTGTTGTGGCAACCGAATTTTCATTCTCATGTCAGGTACTATCTTTTTCTCTTTTAGCTGTGTGGTTGTAAATGTGTATGGTCCTACGGATGTAGTTAAAAGGCAAGAAGTTTGGGCAAATTTTGCTCTGTTGAAGCATCATTTCTTGGGGCCATGCTCCTTGGGGGGTGATTTCAACGAAATAAGGAACATTGATGAACGGATTAGGTGTTCTAAAAGAGACCAAGGAATGAGGGATTTTAATTCTATGGTAGAACAACTAGAGATGATTGACTTACCAATGCTGGGGAGGAAATTTACCTGGTGCAACTCACAAACAAGAGAGAAATGGAGTAGAATAGACAGATTTCTACTCAATCATGAGTGGCTTCAAAACTTCAATTTCACGGTATGGGGACTACCTAGGTTGTTATCTGATCATTGTCCTATAATATTGATAGAGGATGATCGTGATTGGGGCCCTAGATCGTTTAGGTTTCTGAATGCTTGGGCTCTCCACCCTAGCTTCGTATCTTTAGTGGAGAAAACCTGGTCAGAAGCTCAGGTGAAAGGATGGGCTAGCTATAGATGTCTCATGGAGTTTAAAGCTTTGAAAAAAAAAATTAAAAATGTGGAACACTACTGTGTTTGGGAAGGTTGAAACTAAGCTTAAGGATGCTGAAGAGGAAGCTCATGCAATTGAATTAATTGCAAAAGATAGACCACTGCTGGGAAATGAGCAAGCTAGAAGAAAGGAACTAATGGGTGAAATCCGGAGGTTGAACAAAATGTTGGAACGTATTTGGTTACTAAAGTCAAGAATTAATTGGGCCACACAAGGGGATAGGAATACCAGGTATTTTCACATTATGGCGTGCAACAGAAACAACAGGAATTCTTTGTGTTCTATTCAGGTGAATGGCTCAATGGTTAAGGAACCTATAGAGGTTAAACCTGAGGTAAAGAAGGATTTCATGAACCATTTCTCTGAAACTTAGGCTGTTAGGCCTAAATTGGTTGGTCAGTTCAAACATATTGCAGACAGTCCAACAGTGGACTTGTTGGAAGCAGAGTTTACAGAGGAGGAAGTCAATCATGTGATTAAGAGCTGTGAAGGCAACAAAGCACTTGGGCTTGATGGGTTTAATTTGGCATTCTTTAAGAAATGCTGGGGAATAGTCAAATCTGAGGTAATGTAATTCTTTAGTGTGTTTGTAGACACCTCATTTTTGACCGACCTTAGGACTCAGACGTCATCAATTGAGTGCTCGGTGATTACGCATGTTGTGCTCGTTTTGAGGTTTCAGAGTTTTCGGCTGAATGCCTTGCCTCCGGGTCTCTGAACTCTTTGTGTTTCAGCTCAGTTTGCGGACCAAGCCTTGTTTCTCTTCCCTGGAGGGAGGGAGAGGTTTTGTAGACCATTCTTTGTGGTCGTACACCACTTTTTCTGCTTGGAGACTAGTTTCCGATTTTCAGAGCCTTCGGCCGCGCGCCTTGTCTCGGGACAGCTTAACGTTCTCCGTTTGGCATGGTTTTTGAACCACACCTTGTTGCCTCTACCTAGAGGGGCACAGTGGTCCGGGAGACCACTTTTGTAGTCGTAAACCACTTTTGGTGCTCGTAGACTGGTTTTCAAGGCTCCCGGCTGCGCACCTTGCCTCCTGTACTTTCGTCTCGCATCCTTTTTGGTTTGTTTTTGGTACAAACCTTATTTTCCTTGCTTGGAGGGTGGAATAAGTGTGGGAGACCAGTTTCTTTCCTCGTAAACCACTTTTCTTCCCCGCCAACTAGTTTTCTGGTTGGCTAGCTGGTTTTTTAATTGAGCAGTCCTCGCTAAATCAAGCCTATCCTTTTGAATACTTGGATTTCAGCTATGAGGCCACCACCTTTGGAAAAATTACTTCTGGGGCTTCATTTTGCACTCAAGAATCTCCTAAAACCAAGTCCGGATGGGGGAGATATGGTTGGTTGAAGTAGGGCATCAATCCGGTTGGATCGAAATTGCGCGGCTTCACCAAAATAGGCATAACGTTTTGCACAGTTGGAATTTTGATGCAAGGCTAGTGCCATTGGAAAGCTAACTTCTGGGGCTTCAATTTGGACACCTGGCCAACCACTTTTGGCCTTGGCAGCCCCCTGCCGACCACTTGCTCCTCCTGCTGACCAAAAAAAGTAACTGGCCAACCATAAAAGTAACTGGCCGACCACTTCAACTGGTCGGCCACTTTCCAGCACCCTTTTGAAGATATTTTCTTCCAGCTGGCACAGCTGGAAGGCACTGAAACCATCCCTCCATACACGTGTATGGACGGATGGCCTTGAACCCTTAGCTTTTTCAAGAAGCTTAAGCATTGGTTCTCTATAAGAGAGAACCTCCTCCTCTCTCCTCTAGGTTCAAAAAAAATGTGCTTGAGTGATACATATAATCTATATCTATACTTCTTCATTTTGCTCTTATTTTGTGCCTTAAAGTGTAATTTTGTCTCACTTTTGTACACAAACATACACTCAAACACCATACTCTTGGAGCTGAGGTCCCTTGAAGTTGTTTTTGGGGTTCTTGGATTGGTTTGAACTCAGAAAACTTGCCGGAGTTACAGCTTTAAAGAGGGTCTTCAAGGGTGAGCATTTAACCTTTTAATCCTCCATTCTTGCTTAAGCTTTTAACCTTATTTGCATACTGTTTTAAGCTTAGCTCTTAACTGGAAAAAGTTCTATTTTTGTGTGCTTAAAAAGTTTGTTTAAGGTCACTTTTTCATTGGGGGTGATCTACCCCCTCTTAGGCCTTGTTAGGCCTTATTTTGAGCCATCCCTTTAAGCTCTTGTGGTAGCCTTTGCATGA